TCAAAATATGTATGTCTGAAAAGTGGGGAGGAACCGAGTGCGGACAACATGGACGACATGGATCGCGCTGGGCTAAGCTGCAAATCGGGTTGCAGCAGCGAGCGTGGAACGAGTCAGTGGCAAAGGTTACGCGCGCGCTCCGTTCGTGCCCATCGTCGGAATGGAAATTGAAATGGGAAATGAAATTGAAATTGAAATTGCGGCGCCCGCGACGCCCGGCTTTCGGTCAGTAGCTGTCGACGCAGACGCAACAGCAGCAACAATTTCGAGTATGATTTATGAGCCGAGCAATTGCAGTTGATTAATCGTCGGCAAACACAATTTGATGGCAGTTAGCTGACTTACATACATAGCATGCATTGCAAGTATTCACTCAATAAACACTTGAAATACATATAAACACACACACATACATGCATGCATATCTCATTTCATTGGCAATCGCAAATATTTACTTATCTGCATTAAAATATGTAGCTCTCGCTCCCACTTCCGCTGTGCGTCAAATGTATTGCGACGTGCGTGGGCGCAACAGGAGAGAGCGAGAGCACAAGTGTGATCAGCCGATACTGTTGCTCTTTGCTTTGCTTTGCTTTCTACTTAACGCTACCTGCCTATGTACATATATATGTATGCATGCATTTTGTTGCTATTGGCTTTGCATTTTGCACACTCCAATCGCTTGCGATCAGTGTTGACACATTGGCTATTTTCCCGGCGGGAATTGTAGCAATTTATTATTTATTTATTTAAGCGATAGCTGAACTCAATTGATGTAACTTAATTAAAATATTAGTATTTATACATCATATTTAGCTAGTTGTATATTTGTTTCTTTTTTAGCTATGTATTGACTTCTTGAATTTGCGTTTAGCTTTATTGTGTAGAGCGTCCTTGTCGAAGACCCGAAGAGCTGGCAACATTGCCAGCGATCATTGTATTGTCTCAATGGAACATTTGCCATTAAAATAAATAAACGCAATCGATAACAGTGTCTTACGCCAAGCATCAGTCATTGTCGACGGCATGTCGGCACTTGTACTTATGATAATCTGACAGCTCTGCCGAGGTGTCTCTAGGTTAAAGAGAGACTTTGTAACCTTCAGTGGGCCAAAGACCCAAAGCACATACACGCACACACACACACACACACACACACACAGAGACAAGCGAACACCCCCTTTGTGTGCTGGGCCCAGACGCGGCAAAGATTTTCCCTTTTTTTACACACATTTTTTCGCTCTTGCATATCAAATAAAAAAAAAAAAGGCGCACAAAAATTGTGGCAAGTGCAAAGTAAAAGTGCAAGCACGTGCATTATGCAAAAACATTCATAAATACATACACAGTCGCATGTATATGCATACATAACATGCATGAGTATGTTAACATTAACAGTGCTGCGTGTATTTGTTTTTCTGCTGTTGCCAAAGCCTCCTCAGTAGACATTGACCTTAAAGCAGAGATACATACATACATAGTTACATGCATGCATGTGTATGTATGTATGCGTGCATGCATGCGTGTGCGTGTGTATGTATAACAGCAATTTATATGAGCAGCACAGCCAGCTTAGCTTGATTTTTCAGCTACATACATAGCTTCCAAATCAGGAGAATATGGAATTTCCACATCATAATTGTCTAATGCTATATAGCAATATCAAATGTATGTATGTACATACATACATACATATATACTACTCCTGCCAACCGGTTTCTGATTATCGTAATATCATATCACACACACACACACTCGTGAGCCGTCTCACTAACAAGTTGATTGAAATTTTCATTATTTATTATAAAATAAATCCAGCTACTCATAGACTCAACCAGTTTTCTATCTCTTTGTTCAATCTGTAACTGGTTGAGAGCTTCAATGTCGTTTTCCATTTAGCATTTTTTCGCTTTCTATCTGCCTTTGTAATGCCCCAGACGCGCCCAGAAGCATGCAACAGCTTCGACCCAGCATAATACGTTTTGCGCCACTTGTTTTGCATTGTGCCAAAAGTATGCTCCATACTTAACTAAATCAGCAAAAGTATGTATATGTGTGTATGTATGTATATATGAAAAAATAGCAAAGAGTAAATAAAGTAAATAAAGACTCAACGCATTGTTGGGATGGCAGCACTGCCGCAACACTGACTTCGCATACTGAATAGGGGGCGCTGGTAGTCTGGCAACGCTGGCAGCGCCGGCAGCCGGCGCCTTTGCGTGCCAGGTGTAAATGCAGCAAGTGCAAATGAGGCAAATTTCAAAGTCAAGTTTACACCACGCAGCGAATGCTTTGTGCTCCAGCACGCCCACAAGCAGCACACCGCCCTCCGCCCTCCACCCCCACCCCCATAGCAACACTCGCACTGTAAAGCTTATTTCACGCCTTTTATGAAGGCGTTCGCTATGCGCCAACATTTTACTCGCTAGAGTTAAAGATGCCAAGTTTCAACTGGTAAATACAGCGCCCTTCATCCAACTGATGCCAGATGCCAGAGCTGCAGTATTTTGATGTTATCAAATTTAAGTATATCTTATATAACACTCGAGTTTATTTTTAAGTTTTCATATATTTTATTTCCATAATTTTCAATTGAGTTTTATTTACATTAACTTTGTATTATCAAATTCTGATCTGTTTCTATTTGCGCGACGCGCACTGTACCTGGCAACCGGTAAATGCGATGCGCTTCGCGTTTTTATTTTTTTCCCGTCACTGACTTTCCCACGCCTTTATTACATATTTACTCTCCCTCTCGCTCGCTCTCTCGCTCTGCCCTATTTTAAGTACATGTGTTAGACTTACGACGAAGCAAGATTGTTGGCAACGGGGGAGGCAGAGACGCCGCTATGTAGGTAAGTAAAAGAAAAAGAAGCAAAAACAAACAGTGCAAAAGCTGTAAAATAAAAATGCAAGAATTGTTCTAAATCTGTTGGGAAGGAGGCCGGACAAAAAAGTGAAAGTGCAGAAACAAAGAAAGCGCCAGCTGAAGAGGTTGCGAGCGCAAAGACGTTGCGAAAACAAAAGAGAGAATACAAGTGGCAGAAGAAGCTCAAGTGTGAAGACTTTCAGTCGCAAATAACTGTAAACGCCGTGGGAGAACGAGCTGACAAAATGGAATTGGCAGCATTAAGTAGAGAGCGACAATAGGAATTGTAAATTAATTTGTATGCATGTACTGTCTGTGTGTGTGTATGTATGTATTTATATTTAATCTATTTAGTGCATGTGTGTGTGTGTGCGAGTGCGATGTAGAATCCCTTCCCTCACCGCTGCTGGGCACATGTGTTGCTCTTTGTAATTGACGCAAAACAAAAGGATGAAGAAGACCAAGAAGAAGAAACTTTCATTTGCCTTTTTGTAATTAATTAACAGTTGCCCGTTGCACGAACAGAGCAAATCCGTAAAGAAGCATGTGTGTATGCGTGCCTCTTTGTACATACGTATGTATGTACACACGCACACGCGTATATGTATGTACATACATTTGTATGTATGTATATTTGCATGTATAAGCACTCGAGTACATAACGTATTTCCGTGTGCACATGTGTGAATGCTGTCACATGCATGCGCGGGTCCTGCAATACATAAACGGCCGCACATACTCACACACGGACACGCGCGTACATGCATGTATGTATGTATATGCTCTCACGTAAACACACACATAGACTCACGAGCACCCGTTACAAATAGCTTGTGTGTGTGTGTGCGTATTTCGGAGAGTCCACAATACACGTATCGCACATACATGTACACACAATCTCGCGTGTATGTGTGTAGGGGTGAAACGAGTTCCATGCGGATAAACATAGCACACAAACGTGGGCGTGGCCAAAAATATCCCGTATGTTGTGCCTGTACAATACTCCATGAGCGTGCGAGTGAGACGCATGCACTCGCTTTAAATAACTCTCCCGAAAAGCGTTTGACGATTGTTTCGTATCAATGTGTGCATGAGCGTGTGTGTGTGTGTGTGTGTGCTGGTCGCTTTACTGCTTCTCTGTTATGCTAATGCAGAGGACACTAGAGCGGGACAGACTACTGCCGACGAGGACAACTGCGAGCTGCGATATGTGCCGTGATTTGCGTTTATTGTGAATTTATGAAATGTCCGTGTATGCATTGGGCTAGCGCTTGATAAACAAGTGAATGGAGAATGGAGTACAAACAAGAAGAAAAGAATATTTAAGTAGTGGGCACAGGTTATCCATATTCTATTTTCTGCGAAGCTTTATTATTTCTGCCATGTCCTCAATGAATGTATTGCATTTTATTTTCCTAACTTAAGCTTGAACGTATTGACTTTAATCAATGCCCAAATTAAAGCGCGCAAATTCATTTCAAATATTGTGCCAAGAGAAATTTTAAAACATTACGACTTTTACCGCAGCCAGCAGCTTATCACCTTCCACGAATTTCCGAGAGAGGGCGCTGCAGTAGCTAATCAAAACTGCGTTAACATACTCTATTTGTCGTTAACAGTGCTATGTGGTAGTTGCGCACTTTTGCGCTAACAGCCTTAGCACGGACACATAATAAAAATCATGATACTGAAATAGATTCATAAATCTGTGTGTGTGTGTTTTTTTTTTTTTTTTAATGATAGTGATTATGAATATGAATGAATAGTTTCGTTGCTACACCTCCTACGCTTAGTCAAAAGTGTTTTAATATCAAGGTAAATATGTTAAGTGTATTCCGATGACGCACTGCTGCACTGTTAATGTGAGACGAGAACGCAAATTTTGCGCAATTGATACTTATTTGCTTAAAGCGGTGTATAGCAGAAAACAAAGCAACCAACGCACATTCATGACATATATATTAAATATAGAGCAAGCTAAATGTATTAGTCTATGATATTAATTACTTATTGAGTGTGAATGTCTCTAAAAACCCACATAGGTGTGGTATATTTAAATACGCGGCTTGCGCATTTTATCGCACATCTGTGAATCGCGCGACCGCCACATTTTGTCGATAACACAATCAGCAGCCGCCACCCTCACACACACACAATCGAGCATTGATATTGACGACGACATCGTCATTCCGTTTAAATTCCTCGAAATTCTTTATTTATTTTTTGTTAAATTGGCGCGTGCTGCATTATCCAGCGCAACGAGAGCAGCCGATATAGCAAGCCTGCAACTACAGCAAACAACACAATAAATAAGTAAGTAGTGCGCATCAACATAATGTACACAAACAGAAAAAAAGAGACGAAAAAATGTAAATGGAAAAGAAACGAAGCGCCCGCTTCTCTTTACCTTCTCGTTCGTCATGCACTTTGTTTTTGTCTGTCGCTGCCTGCATTAGTCATACACAAATTCGGAATACTCTTTTTTAGTTTAGTTGTATTTGTGTGAGAAGGATTCTCTTCTATATTAATGATTTCGTAGGCTTCCCAGCGTAGCTGTTGATCGATAAAATCAATGAATTAATTGAGTCCGAGCCTCGTGACGTCACTTGCAACTGACTCCGCATTGTGTCTTTGCAGCTCCACAAACCAAGTGAAACAGAACCACATCAATGGCAGCTGGCACCACACTGCAGAAGGCCATAGATCTGGTGACGAAGGCCACCGAGGAGGATCGCAACAAGAACTATGCCGAGGCGCTGCGTCTCTACGAGCACGGTGTGGAATACTTTCTGCACACCATCAAATGTGAGTAGACGCCCCCATTTTCTTTGGCTGCTAGCTGACGGCATTATTGCAGATGAGGCGCAGGGCGAGAAGGCCAAGGACTCGATTCGAGCCAAATGCCTACAGTACTTGGACCGGGCTGAGAAGCTCAAGGAGTACCTGAAAAAGGGCAAGAAGAAACCGATCAAGGAGGGTGGCGAGAGCAGCTCCAAGGACGACAAGGACAAAAAGAGCGACAGCGACGACGAAGATGGCGATGACCCAGAGAAGAAGAAGCTGCAAAGTAAGCTGGAGGGCGCCATCGTCATTGAGAAGCCACACGTGCAGTGGTCCGATGTGGCTGGACTCGACGCCGCCAAGGAGGCGCTCAAAGAGGCTGTCATCTTGCCCATTAAGTTTCCGCAGCTCTTCACCGGCAAGCGCATACCCTGGAAGGGCATCCTGCTCTTCGGACCTCCTGGCACGGGCAAATCTTATTTGGCCAAAGCAGTCGCCACCGAGGCGAATCGTTCCACATTCTTTTCCGTGTCCAGCTCCGATCTGATGTCCAAATGGCTGGGCGAGTCCGAGAAGCTGGTGAAGAATCTCTTCGAGCTGGCGCGCCAGCACAAGCCATCGATTATATTCATCGACGAAATTGACTCCATGTGCTCCGCCCGTTCAGACAACGAGAACGACAGCGTGCGTCGCATCAAGACCGAGTTTCTGGTCCAGATGCAGGGCGTGGGCAATGACACCGACGGCATCCTCGTGCTCGGGGCCACCAATATACCCTGGGTGCTCGACTCGGCCATTCGCAGGCGTTTCGAGAAGCGCATCTACATTCCGTTGCCGGAAGCGCATGCCCGCCTCGTCATGTTCAAAATACACTTGGGCAATACGACGCACGTGCTGACCGAGCAGGATCTCAAGGAGCTGGCCGGCAAGACCGAGGGGTAAGCTACCACAACTACTGTGAATTCGCATTAAAACTCATGGCTCCTGCAACTGCAGCTATTCGGGCGCTGATATATCGATCGTAGTGCGCGATGCGCTGATGGAGCCGGTGCGCAAGGTCCAAACGGCCACACACTTCAAGCGGGTCTCCGGCCCGTGCCCCAGCAACAAGGAACAGATCGTTGACGATCTGCTGGTGCCCTGCTCGCCGGGCGATCCGGGTGCCATCGAAATGAACTGGATGGATGTGCCCAGCGACAAGCTCTTCGAACCGCCCGTGACCATGGTGAGTAGCTGAAGTAGCGCGTCTGATCTTCAATGTTCTTATGTTCGCTTCTCTTTTGCTGTGCAGCGCGACATGCTCAAGTCCTTGTCACGTACGAAACCCACTGTCAACGAGGAGGACTTGACAAAGCTGCGCAAATTCACCGAAGACTTCGGTCAGGAGGGCTAAGCCGATCCGCACGGAGAATACGAAAATCCAAGTCGCCATCATCATTAACAGCTAATTCTAATTGTTGCCTATTGCATAAACACGCTGAACACCCGCTGGCTCAATGGATCCACACACAGACACACTCACACACATACACTATATATATGCATATATATATATATATTAATTTTTTCTATACTTTTTAGTTTATTTTTTTGATCCCAAACACGATTGATATTCATATATGTAAATGCCTTACTGATCGATCGTTGATTTATATGGCTAAGATTGTAATACATGTTTTTGCCCATCACCCCTCTCTGCTGCTGGTTGTTGCAAGTAGACGAAAATGAAGAAGAAGACGAAGTAGAAGAAGCAAGAAAAATGAAGCTGATGTATTTTTATACTCTTAATGTTAAGCAAATACTCGAAATGAAATCGAGTGTAATTTATCAACAATGTGTTACAGTATGTGCTCGCGCGCGCCCCTGTGTGTATGTGTGTGTGTGTGTGTGTGTGTGTCCGTGTGTTCGTGAGTCTGTTGAGCGGCTGCCCTCACATCTGGACACCTGCCCGCCTCCTCCATCCAGCCAGCCAGCCAACCAGACAGACGAACTGACCGATAGTTGGCCAATCAACTACTTAACCAACAACAAAAACAACAACAACAACAGCAAAAGGCAAGAAACCTAAACTTAAATGTAACCGATCAAAAATCCGAAGACAAATCAAAGAAAAGATAAAATGCCTATATTGAGGTGCGCCCTGCTTGCACCACGAACACCTCAGCGTGACTCGACTGCAACATGCCCTGTCGACAGAATGAAGAAGGAAAGAAAGGGAGAAAACCCATTCGAATCGCTTGTCTAAATTTTAATTAAATATTGCCTTATTTTCTTCTCGTCTCGGTCATACATTTTTTGTTTCTCCGTTTATGCTTAGAAATTACAAATTGTTAAATAAATATATTATGAATCTATAAGTATTTTAATCAAAATCCAATCCATTTGCCATTCGACACTCGATTTAGAATTTAAGTTGTGCCGAGAACGATGTGAATTGAGTCCCTAAAGATCTGTTGAAGGAAAGATGAATACTTGGTTTATATAAAGTGTAGTATGTAAGAATAGCATAGGGTAGAGGCGGAGCTAAACTAATATCCAATCCATTCTAACTGTCCATGTTGAGACTTGGCATGGAAGCAACTCGCCATGAAATAGAACATACATGGGATATATGTATAAGCATTGAATGACGGATAAACATAATCGAATATTTATTTAATAACTAGGATTTTTTCAAACTATTTTTAGTAGTTTATGAAAATAGCAGTAAATGATTCCTAGAAAAGAAAATACTGGAACACTTGGATCATATATTAGGTTTTACATATGGTTTAATTCTAGCTTGTAATCGATGGGGTCTTCTCAATGCTTCAGAGGAACTTGGTGCCACCCCTACCGAAAAACTTGTCACTTGAATCTGGATTAAAATGAGGAATACTCTAAATTATTATTGCATTTCTAGGTATATCTGTATAACACGCTTCACCGGTCTATTGAACAATTCGATAATTGATTGCCTATATCCTATATATTCACCAAGCCCAAAAGTAGACTAGCTCTATTTGAGCGTTATCTGCTGTAGAACTATAGAAACGTAATCAAAATTATATCTGGGAATGATTCATCCAATTGCAAGGGAAAATTATCATAAAGTGAAAAAAAAAACCATTTCCATTAATCTTATTCTGTTATCAAAGTTAGCACGAAATGTTTTTGCCAATTTGATCGAGCAAACGCTCCAAAATATAAGACTTTATGGTTAAGAGCGAGATAGCTATATATGAAAAAAACAATGCAAAATCTATCTACACAAACTATGTTGGCAAGGCATGCGAATCTTTTCTATACCCTGTAACCCTTACGAATAGTTGAGGGCATGTTTGACTAGTGGGAATCCTAATATGCAAACTCAGAGATGGGGAACTATGTAGAGCTATAGTAAAAGAAGAAGAAATAGAAGCTAGAGTCATAGTCAGTCTTTCTCTCTCTTTCCCTCCCTAGCTATCAAATGTCAAATGGGTTATATTGATTTACGCATAGAAAATGTGGAATTCTACAATTTAGAATTTGAACAGATTTTATACTCACAATTTCATATTTCAATTCCTTTAAAAGAAATTTGAAATATTTCAAATTCCAGCTGCGCACAGGGTATCATATAGTACATATGCTTTCGTTATTCTTTTGGGTTGCGTGCTTGAATTTTCGATCGGGCAGCTAAGTGGGTCAAATTAGAACTTTCTGCGCTCAGCGAAGCAGCGCGTGGTCCGATCTTTAATGGAGTCGATTACTGTCTTTGTTTTCAGCTCTGGCCATAAATTTAGTAAGCATTTGCACCTGTGTACAAGTGGGGGCTCATCTGTTTCCCATGCCCAAGCGGATGATACCCTTGGGAGTAAGGGTTCTATTGAATTGATGCAATTGACGCATTACAGTTCGACATATCTGACTTTGTACAACTTTTACTTTTTTATGATATATTAATATGATATGGTATGGAAGTCGAAATTATGCAAGGTCTGAAGTTAACTGTACCTATCTAAATATAACGCAACTATAGGAGCTATTTGAAATGCTACAAGTCTAAGATAAAATTCAATCATAAGAGAAGACTTAACATATTTAAAAAACTGATATAAGTATAGACTCTTCATAACGAATAAGATTATATACAACGCTTACTAGTCTATCGAATCAGGATCGCTTTCTTTATTTATACTACCTTGAATCTTTCTCTCTAAGTTACCTTAGTCTTATTATTGGCATATTACTTATCTATTTTTGCTCTTCTCTGATTGAATATATCTTCGACCTACTCTTACTGAAATTTTAGTATGTTTTTGTATAAAACTTCGTCTCATTTGTAATGAATGCACATTCCGGTAGACTCTTATCAATTCATCTGTATTAAATTGTTCTTTAGTAAAAATGCAGACCAAGTTTTATTATCTTCATCAATCAAGTATGTTGCATGTCTGTTAGGGTATACAGTTTTTATATAGTAACATGCTTCTCATACCCTGAAGCATCTAAAACGGGTATAGAGTTGTCATATTCAACAACTGTGCTCCGCCGCATTACTATTTTCATAAACATGGCAACAAATGGAGACGTCGAGCGTTTGTACATATGTAGATTGAAAGCCCCTTAAATAAACTGTAACTCGAAAACTTAAAATGAAACTTTGTTTCGAAGAACCAATCAATTATCTTTTTTTTTTTTTTTTTTTTTTTTTTTTTTTTTTTTTTTTTTTTTTGAGTTGTTAAATATAATAAGAAAAGATACAGCTAGATTGGAAGTTTTATATCTAGTCATTTTTCAGTTTCTTATACTATATAATATTATATAATAAAGTTTCATTGGATTAGCCATAAATAAACACCACAGTTATTAAAGTAGTAGAAATCTATAGACTTGGAGGAATAACATTGTTAAAGTTCGTATAGTTTGCAAGGTGGAGTAAAATGAAGGCAAAACTTTGTCGATTACTCTACAGTCTATATAGATTAAGATATAATTATAGTACATTCACAACAGCAGCTCATTGCATAGTTTAGGATATCCACTAGTCGGTCTTTTTATACCCTGAACCCATTGAAAATGGGAAATCAGGGTATAATGGTTTTGTTAAAATGTATGTAACAGGCAGAAGGA